TCCCCCGCAGTGTCTGCCTCCCCCACATACTGACTGATTGATAGCAAACATTAACACCCACACTACAAAACAAAAAAGTCCTATCATTTTGGGAGGGGTACAAATGTGTCACTTTCATGCCACATGGAGCCTTAGGACTGATTTGTACAGAGGTACATTTGGTTTGGGTCCTATTATTTTCTCTAAGAGGAACTGGCTGTGTCTCTGACAAAGTGGAGAGGGGATCTGGACCTTCTTTAAACACGTCACACCTCACACATTCTCACTTACATTAGACCCAGGTACTTGGAATGCCAGTGTCTGTGTTTGTGTGTGGATGGGGTTTCCTTTGGCAGGTGGGGAATGGAAAGGGAGGCCCTTGAGAGATTGGGGTAATTAGTTATTTCTCTAACTTTGCTTGCATATAACTGAGGCTTAATTTACCGTCTACCTGCACTTACCTTGCCTCCCCGAACGTTCAGTGTGTGACTCCCTGGTGACACGCAGCTCATTTGCTTTTTTCCAGGACCTACCTGACCTGGAAGATGTTGACGCCAGTGAATCTTTGGAAAATCAAGATAAGGTTATCAGTACAGTTTCCCCATAGTCAACGTTCATGCTTGTCATTTACTGCAAAGCATCTCTCTTGAACTTGAAAGTAAAATGCCCTTCGTGATTAAAGTATCCCATACCTCCACATTTTCACCTTGCTGAAGGAAATGTAACTATTTGTTCTTCCTTTTTTTAAGGTTATTATTTTATTTCTTTTAGAGACAAGAGTCTCACTCTGTCACCCAGGCCGAGGTATGATGGCGTGATCATAGTTCACCACACCCTTGAACTCCTGGGTCAAACAGTCCTCTTGCAGCTGATTTTTAAAATCTTTTCTAGAGATGGGGTCTCACTAAGTTGCTCAGGCTGGTCTCTAACTCCTGGTCTCAAGTGATCCTTCCTCCTGTCTTGGCCTGCCAGAGTGCTGGGATTATAGGTGTGAGCTACCACACCACTTGGGTTTTCCTAAAAACCTGTATTTTACTGCTGGTTTGTAATAACTGAGCACTGTACATAGTTACCTAAATGCATTTTTCTGCATATCCTCGTGGATGTTGGACATAGCCACACGTAGACAGAGGGAAAGGAAGAGAGGCATGAGCATATGCAGGACCATCAGGAATTCCCCCATATGACCTGATTGGCCCCTTCTGCCATTACTGAGAGCCCACAGGTGTCAGGGCTGTGCCCCAATGAAGGGAGCATAAGGCACGATCTCTGTGCATGAGCCATCACAAAACAAAGGAAACAGACACGTGGTTGCTGTGGGTGGACAGCGGACAGGTACCCAAGGCGCTAAGTCCTAGAGAGTTTGCCAACAAAGCTGGGGTCCGGGTTGCCAGCCGTACCAGCAGGGTGTCGGTCATCAATGGGTGGGAAGTGCAACATGGACATGGCAGAGGGTTGGGAAGGAGCATGGACATCGGCTACACAGCGGACACCGCTGGCTGTGGCCTGACTTGGAAAGGGTAGTCCTGTGTTCCCTCAGGCTTTTTTGTAGGTGGCAACAGAATAGTTTGTGCTATTAGATAAAACATCGGAATGGGTCTCGTGGATTTTAGAGTGATTCACAAAAACTGAAATGTTGAAACACATCTCTTCTTTTAATAGAAAATGTGCTTTCCGAGGATTGAGACCATCTCGAGCTTGAGTGATGACAGTGATCCTGAATTGGACTACACGTCACTCCCCATGCTGGAAAACATGTTCCCCGACACCCTTTCGAATATATTTGCTGTTTCTAGAGACACCTCAAAGGAGGTTCAGGTGCCCTTTACAGATATATTTAAAATAGAGGCAAAGAGGGATGTGGAAATTCAAAGACAAGACACCAAGTCCCCACGACCACTGATTCAGGAGCTCAGTGATGAGAACCCCTTGGGCCAACCACTGACATCCTCCACCTGCTCGAGAGACGCTGCCTTACTCTCGTCCAGCGAGGACACTGGCCTCCCTGTAGCCTCTGCACCAGGTGAGATCACAGGGGCAGAAGGCTTAGTGGAGAAATGAGCTGCTGACTCTTCAGCCTAGGGCAAGGCAGGGTGGGGAGGCGGCTGGGGCTGTTCCCTGAGCACCCCGTGTTTGAAGAGCAGGCAGACCCTCTGTGGACCCGCTCCTGAGCACACAGCTCTGAAGCTGCCCCTTGTCGGCTGCCAGCTTGGGCTGAGGAGCTGCTAAGCTGCCCTTCTCAGGGGCTGAGTCTGGCTGTGGGTGACCACCTTGGCCCGTGTTTGGGCAGATCCTGGCAGTTCTGGTCCATCAGGCCTGGGAGGTTCAGGAACCTGAACTCCCAACCCTCACCATCATGGCCTTCAGTCTCTCTGGACCAAAGCCTCTGAAGGAGGGAAGAGACATGAACACCCTGGCTGGGGAGTGTGGGACCAGCAAGGGTCACACCAGATCACACGAAGGTCTGGGCCAGCAGGGGCAGCATCCAGGGTCCTGGCTGGGAGACATATAAAGCGTGGGGGCCCTGGGGGAAGCTGGTTATTCAGACTGAGAACAGGCACGTGGGGTGTTTTCTGTTCAGCATGAGCCTTTGGAGGTTGTCCTGGGGAGGTGGGGAGTAGAACCAGGCAGAATCCACTCTCCCTGGAACTGACAGGTTGGGTCTAGGCCGGCATGCAGGAAGCAACCAGAAGTGGCTGCACTTCCCCAAAACACTGAACTGCCTCCTCTTTTTCCCTGTTTAGGAAACAGCACTGGATAGAATGAAGTGCAGTTGGAGCTGCAGGCTGCAGAGCCCAGGGTGGGGCCAAGCTGAGGACAATCAAATTTGGCTTGGACTGAACCTCAAAGCAGCCCCTCTGTCCTACCAGTGACAGGGAGCAGGCACAGGTCACCCCTCTTTCTGGGTCTCCTTCCTTCCCAAGTGCTGTGGTTACCGAAGACCACCCAGGGCCTTCACTGGGACACCTGCCCAAGCCGCCCTCCTGAGCCTGCACACCTGGGACCAGCCTGCACTCCTCATCCTCCACACAGCCATTTCCCCTGGTTGTCTGCAGTATAAATATAATCACAAGTATTTCTCTGGAGCACAATAAATGTTTTAGCATCCACATGAGTCTGTGTGTTACTGGACTACCCAGTAGTCCACTTGTGTGAGCCACATGTGTTTCTTTTCATCAGCTACCCCGAGAAAAGATCATTTCTCTCTTAACGTGTGAGCAGAAACCTAGATGAGATCTGGTCCCTGTACAATTGTGAGTGGGCACTCTCCCCACAGGAGAGCAGCACCCTCCCCAGAGCTGGAGAAGTCAGAGGGATGGGATGGGGTGTGCAGACAGCAGTCAGGACACCGTCCTGGATGAGAAACATGAGCACAGCAGTTGATAGCAGCAAGTTTACTCAACCCCTGACCCTGGCCCCAGAGTCTCCCTGTGCAAAACATCAGACCACCGTGGAGACTGACAAGCCCCAACCAACCCCAAGAGTGGCTGCTGACAGTTACTGTGCTGCCTCCCATGGCCCCGCCCAGTGTGAGCAGCTCTCCAGCCCCTCCATCCTCACCACACCCCGGCTGGGCCTGCTGCCTGTCTCATAGGAGGGCTGAGACTCTCCTGAAGCCCCCAGCAGACCCTGCATCTCCTGAAGAGAACTGGCTGTGCAGCCTCTCTGGCCCCGAGATAGGTCCACCAGGACCTTCCAACTTGCCTTTTGGGATCACCTTCAGACAAATATGTAAGATATTACTATTTTACTGCCCCATTCCTCCGACATGGCTCATAATCACAATGGCCTTCTGAGGGTGGAAAGTGCTGCCCCGCAGAACTGCCCGTTCCCCGAGTTTCCACTGTGGAAGGCACAGCTGGTCAAATGGAGAGTGAGGGCTCACAGGCTCGGGGTCAGCCTGCTCAAAAGCCCATGCGAGGCTTCTTCCGGTGGGGCTGGGAACCTGAGGGGACAGGTCTGTGCAGCCAGGAGGAGGTGGCCCGGATGCTAGAGGCCTGGGAAGAGGTTGTGGCAGCATGTTCTGGAGTGTCCCTTTGGAGTGGCAGCTTGGCCACATGGTTCTGGAGAGACTTCTGCTGGGAGGGGGCGTCCCTCTGGAGTGGCAGCTTGGCCATGGAGTCCTGGAGGGTCTGCTCCTGCTGTGAGGGGATGCCTTGGGCCCATAAATCTGGAGTCAGCTCCTGAGAAGGTGGAGTCGCTGAGAGTTGAGGCCTGGCCTTGGCACATGTGGAGTCTGGGCTAAGAGGTGGGCTAGTGGCATCCAAGGAGTCCAGGGGGCCACTGAGTGAGGAGAAGGTACTGGACAGCTGAGTCCGGCGCTTGGGCCGCTTGGGCTGTTTCCCAGGCTCTGAGGTCCTGCCATGGTGCCTCTCCCACCAGGCAGCCCCTCGGCCTTCCCAGGCTTCCTCCAGACGCTCACTGAGCTCATCTGGGCTGGACTCAGGTGTGGGAGGTGGCTCTGCTGTGGGGAGTGGGCCCAGATCCCTCTGCTGTAGGAGCCGCCCTTTGGCCATGGCCTCTCGCAGAGCCTCTAGCAATTTCCCCCCATCCTTCTGCAGCTCCATGCGGCTCAGCTGCTGCTGGTGGAAAAAGGTGGGTACAGCCCATGTGGGGGGATCTGGGGGGACCTCCAGAAGGATCTTCAGCCACTGGCTGCAGCAGACAGTGTCTTGGGGGGTCCAGGAAGCTGTGGGGGTGGGACACTCAGGCCCGGCGTCACCAGGAGGCCCAGCGTCTCCGGTGGAGTCCTCCTGCAGGCGGAGGTACTGGTAGAAGATGTCTCCTGCCGCTGACAGCTGGAAGAGCACCAGGCCTGGTGTGGAGGCCGGGGGTGGGATGGCAGTGGCCAGACCTGGTAAGCGGAATGACATGCCCTGTAAGACCTGCAGGGTGGGGGCTTTCACCCAAGCAGCCCCAGCTCACTGCCCTGCCTCTCATACCTATGGTTGGTGCCTTCAGACGCTCCTCCAGCTGCCACTGGCTCTTGGGTTCTAGCAGGGGAAATGCAGAGAGGGAGTCTCTCCTGGAGGGAAGAGACTGGGGGGGCCCCGCCAGCCGGGGTGCAGATGCTTCACCTCCTGAGGAAACACAGGCAGCTGAGGCCCAGCCAGGCCCACCCTGCCCATCTTCCCACACACCCCGGCCCTCACCAGGACCCTCACCTGAGATGGGCAACAGCTGCAGCTGCCCACCCTGGCCTGCCAGGATCAGGGGCTGTGGGCAGCCGGGCCGGGGTGGAGGCAGCAGCCGGGCCAGCAGGGGTGGAGAGGGGAGGCCATGATTCCACTTTAGCATGGGCACCAGGGGCAGGCGCTCGTCCACCAGGTACAGTGAGAACTGAGGGTCCAAGAAAGAAGTGGGGCAGGGGTGAGATGGCTTGTCATATAGGAACCCACCTGCTTTCCTGTGCCACCCCCACTCTCTCCTGCCCCTGTGCTTCATACACCTACCAACATCTTGGGTCCTCCTCCCCTGCTCCCAAACATGGCAGGAGCTTTGCACAGGTCCCCAGGCCCTGATGCCTCACACCTGCTCCATCCCTAGTCACACCTCAAGCCATGCTAAGATGCCAGCTCCCAGGAGGCCCTCCCCACCCACCAGGCAGCACCTGCAGAACTGTGTTTAGCCCAGTTCTTCAGGGTGTGTAGTCTGGTTTTGCCTGTAGCTGTGTAGACCCAGCAGAGCAGCAGGTTCAAGCACATGGCTGAGCACAGGGCAGAGTGTTGCTCACCTGAGTACAGATGAGGTGGAGGGTGGAGGGTAGAGAATCGGGGCTGGACTGTCCCAGGTATTGTGTAAGCAGGATACGTTCTCCCTTCTGGCATGACGCCTCTGCTCCCGCACGAAAAAGTAGCAGACCACAGCCCGGTGGGCCCTGGAGGAAAAGCCGTTTCAGCCCTCCCCACGGACAGGCTTACACCATGGTCCTCGCCCCAGCCACCCTCAGCCCAGGGTCTCCTGCCCCTGCTACCATACCTGAGTGTCAACCATTTTCACTCCAGTGTGGTCCCCCACAGTCAACACCCGAGGATGGGCTGTGAAGTCTGCCCAGCGCCATGGAGAGGGGTCCCGGAACACAAGCGTCTCGGGGTCTCTGTAGATTTGCTGCAGCCTTGGGGAAAGAGGCACACCATGAGCAGGGGGATGGGCTGCTGGGGGGCAAGGGGTCAGGACATGCTGAACAGGAAAAGGGGCATTACCCGCCCTCAGGGGTCCACAGACAGACGGCTCCTGATTGGCTGCAGACGGCCAGCTCCCCTGGCAGGTGAGGGCTACAGGACATGAGTATGATCAATGCTGGACTAACTATCCCTTCTCGCAGACCCACCTCCGTGCTGACCAGCCCGACTTAACCTGCTCACCTGAGACTGATCCCTGTGGCTCCCTTCTCAACCTGCAGCACCTGCAGAAGGGCTGGCTGCCCCTGTTTACTGACCTTCCACACGGCACAGTGGTAGTCAGAGCGGACGGCCAGCACCGCTGGGGAGAGTGAGATGGACAGGGTCAGGGGGCTGGCAGCAGGTCAGCCAGTGAGGCAGAGAGGTGTCCAAGGGACTCACCTTCTCCCTGGACTGTGCAGGTCACCACCTGCCGCACAGGACCCCGGAGGTGGATGCGTCCAGGACACCCTGGGACATCAAGGTTGCTGTCTGGGTTCAGATTGACCTCTTGGAAACCTGGGCCTCTCACTAAGGATCAGTGCAAAAGCTGTGGTCACTGCAAACCCCCCAAATTTCTACCATTCCCCTGGGCCATGCCAAGAGCGCCTCCTCCACAAGACGGGAGCCCACTGGGATCTCCTTCTAGCAAGAAAGGATACACAGTGTGTCCAGGGTGCCTCCACCAGGGTAGACCAGCTGCCCAACCTGGGGTGTCCTTCCAGGCACCCAGGCCAAAGCTCCCCCAGTGTAGGTCTCGTCCAGAAGCAGCCGCTCCCATCGCACTGCCAGCTCCTCGCGCAGCAGCTCTGCCAAGATGCTCGCCACTGACTTGCCCAGGATAGCACCCCCCAGGATGGAGAACCGGCGCTGTCGGTGGGTAATGTAAGCCCAGGGACACCTGGGGACCAGAGGACAGCAGGAGGCTCACATTGTGGTGGTGACAGAGGAGAACTGAGTCCCATCCCAAGGAAGGCTCGGTGTGTGATGCACATGTTTTGATCTAGCTAGGATGTCTTCCTTTGGGAAACCACCCCACCCTGTGCCTAGGGCCTAGGGGCAGTCACAGGACCCAGACCTGCCATCAAGAGTACTCCATTGTCCCTGCCAGTGACTGGTTCACAGACGGGTGTGAGACCCAAGCCAAGCCAACCAAAGTCCTTCCCGGGACTTCAGGTGCCTCAGGAAGAACACTGACTTCTTCCTTGGAATCATAAGCCATCTTGGTGCCACCTGAAAACAGCCCACCCAGCAATTAAGCCAGGCAGAGGGAAGTGGATGAGAAAGCAGAGATGGAGCCCTGCTCATGTTATCTGAGCACCTGGAAGAAGTGACTCCTGGGGCCCAGGACTATAAAGGCCCCTTTCCCCTAAGGCTGCATGTGGAGGGGAAAACCTGGGTGCCCATCCCAGCTCCTGCCACATCCCCACCCCCAGCTGGGCCTATCCGTCTCGTCCTTTCTCACTAGCCACTTGCCCCCAGGGCTGGTGTCCACCGAGGTTCTGGAACAGTCTCTTCACACTGATCACTGTCTTCTTCTTCGAGCGGCTCTGCATGGAAAGGCCCTGTCAAGCTCACGCACCTGCGGGTTCACCCCTGAAGGGAAGCGGGGCCTCCCTGCCCTGGCTAGACGGGGGTTACGCACCGGTGCTCCCTCCAGCTTGAAATTCTCCAGCATCAGCCTCCCCAGGGGTGCAAAGGCTATGTCTCCATGATCCCACAGAAACCGGCTGAGCTGGGGAGAGGGGGGAAGGCCAGGTCACTAAGCACAGTCCCCACGCAATGAAGCACAGCCCACTGTGGCCTACTCACTTGCTCAGTGACGTCTAGCACGACCCGGGGCCGCTTCCGGTACTGGTACCCTCCACGGAAAAGCAGGTCTTGGGCAGTCAAACCAGGGTCCCAGGGATCTGAAAAGAGGGGATCATGGAAAGGACCCGGAAAGGCAACAGACGCAGGGCCAGGTGTGCTGGGGCCCCGTGGGAGCAGAAGCTATCGGCAGGGAGAGCAAGGTCTGAGGAGGGGAGGCTGCGAGCCCAGAGGGAGGGGACCTTACCAGGGGCAGGACGCAGCAGGGGGAGGGGCCCGGGGGTCACCGGCTCCCACACCACATCCTTGGCCAAGAACGGAGCCCCATTCTGAAGGGAACACAACTGCAATGACAGCATTACAATGAGAGAACTCCCCGGACCAGGCACTGTGCAAGCACTTTCAGTAACTCATCCAGTCCCCACGACAACCCTGCAAAGTCGGTGCAACTGCTGTCATCATTTTGAAGAAAGTGAGGACCTGGGGGGCTCTCACTTGCCCTAGAAGACCGGGCAGTAAAGAGAAGGGCTGGGATTTGAAGCCAGGCATCCTGACTCCAGAGTCTGTGTCTGTGAGCTCCACCTGCACTGGCTCTTCATGGAGGACACCCCCCATGCCGTTAATGGCCGCTGCACCCCACTTGATACTCATGTCATTCAGGAAGCCTTGCCCTCACTTACTCTGGGAGCCTGGAAGTCCACTCTGCCTCCCATTGCTGGGCTGAATTGAGACATCTCAGTTCAAACACTCAGGGGACAAAGGAGCCAGCAATGACCACAGTTATTTCATCCACTGGTCTGTTCATTGCTTCCTCTCACACAACCTACTTCTCAGTTCCAGGAGTGTGGGACTCAACTGACTTACTCACACTATATCCCCAGGATCTAATGGAGCCTGTAAGTAAACCCCTCACGGATAGCAGTGTTCCATGTGCCCCAAAGAAGGGCACTCTGGCTCCGCCTGTGTCTTAGTAGATTTATGCTAATGCCACTCTTTGCATCCTTGCCAAGTGATGTGAATGTTACACACACAAAGGGACCAAATAAAGAAGCCCTACCCAGAGCTGCCAGGAATGCCAGGACCTCTCCTTCCCTCCTCACCTCAGAGATCTGGGGCTGGGATTCAGGCAGGGTCAATGCATCTCTCCAGCTGCACATAAAGGACAGGTCAGGGACATCACTCAGACCAAGGGGGCCGGTCCGGAACAATGTGGGGCGGAGAGAGCTGGGGAAGTCCATCCTAGAAAATAAGGACAAATGTCGCACTGGCCTTCTCAACAGGCCTGAATTAGACAATAACTTCCAGGGTTCCTGGGGAGAGGAAAAGGTATGTTAAGAGTATATCCTTCCCTCGAGGAAGTAGATAATAAAAAGCAAATGAATAGGTAACCTAATGCCAGGCAGTAATAAGTGCCATGTATAGATTTTTGTCCCATCATTTTATTTAGTTAAGGACAAAACATGACGTAATGAATAAAACACAAGGAAACAGAACAAGTGAAGGGGGGGGGACCTTCACTTGTGGGAGTTAAACTTTCCTGCCTATATGACTTACATCAGCTAAAAAATCATTTCATTTATGGGCTTCCTTTCTACTTAGTATATCCAAGTCATATAACACAGAAATTCCTAGGCCAAATCTGCATTTTCCATTTGGCATATAAAAAAAGGATGGTTTATGGGCGGTACCTGTGGCTCAAAGGAGTAGGGCGCCGGCCCCATATGCTGGAGGTGGCAGGGTTCAAACCCAACCCCGGCCAAAAACTGCCAAAAAAAAAAAAAAAGTGATGGTTTATGAGAGAAAACATCTGCTTCGTATACACAGTATATGTAGAAATTGGTGAGGACTGATTATTAATCTGTCATATAAAAATCTTTACAAAGATGAGTAAAAAAAAAAATTTTTTTTTTTTGAGACAGAGTCTCACTATGTCACCCTCGGTAGGGTACTATGGCATCACAGCTTATAGCAACCTCAAACTCTTGGGCTTAAGTGATTCTCTTGCCTCAGCCTCCCAAGGAGCTGGGACTAAAGGCAACTGCCACAACGCCTGGCTATTTTTGTTGTAGTTGCCATTGTCGTTTGGCAGGCCCGGGCTGGATTCGAACTCGCCAGCTCCAGTGTATGTGGCTGGCATCCTAGCCGCTGAGCTACAGGTGCCAAGCCAAAGATGAGTAAAAATATTTTTAACCACTTTTGCTCCTTGGAATTGCCTTACAATATTATTATATTTTAATTGAACCCGCAAATTTCTGTGTAATATTTTTACAACCAAGATTAATATCTATTCGACTTTTCTCTTAATAATGTGCTTAGTTACAAAGGGATTTTGACATAAGCTACTAATTTTAGCTATTGGTATCTACTTAAGCATGTTCCTGAATGTCTTTACACCGTTGCCAAACAATGTAAAGAAGGAGGCATTTTCCTGAGATATAGAACCTAATCAGTAGAACCTTTCATTCAACAAATACTTATTCAAAGGCTTCTATGTGCTAAACATATTGTGAGAAGCTGGACATTGAAAGAATGAGCAAGACCCACGTACAAGAAGCTCAAGTTGTAAAACTATAATTCTTTCCTTTATCTCTTTACTTAAAGAAACCAGTCTTCTTTGAATTGATTTTTTACTCAGTTATTGGGAATAAGTGCTATATTAAAACCACCCACCCATCCATGAAAGAAGGGATGGTGATGGGTGAGGGTGTGGTTTCTGCAATGGCAGCCAGGGAAAGCTTTGTCCAAAAGGTGGCATTTGAGCGCAGCCTGCACTTAATGGGGAGAGGGCCATGCATGCAACTGGGAAGAGGGCTTCCAGGTAGAACAATCAGCAAGTGTAAAAGTCTTGGAGCAGGAAAGTGTTTGATAAACAGCTAGGTGGCCACGGAGGGAACAATGAAGAGAGTGGTGGGAAATAAAGTCAGACAGACAGAGGGCAGCACCTGTGGCTCAAGGAGTAAGGCACCAGCCCCATATGCCGAGGGTGGTGGTTCAAGCCCAGCCCCAGCCAAAAACTACAATAAAGTCAGACAGGTGGCAAGGGGTCAGCTTCTCTCACAGCTCATAAACACTGGAACTGTGCTCCTAGATGACACTCCAAGACTAAACTCTAGTTTTTCCACAGCCAGGAATTGAACCTCATTCATCTGTCTTCTTACTGTCAAGCACTGTGCCTCCCAGAACATACATTGTGTTGAGTAAAAATAAATTTCTATCAAAGGGCTTTGGTAAATAGTACAAAGTCCTCCAGAAGAAAAAGCAGCCATACCATACTTTTTTTTAATCAACAAAAATAATAGTAGCACTCACTTACTGACAGCCAGCACCTGCCAGACACAAGGCTAAGTGCTTTATCTACCTTTCTTTTACTCCTTATTTTAGAGTTCAGGAAACTAAGGCTTAAGAGAGGGTATCTTGCTCAAGTCCTACAGTTTGTACAATAATGGCCAGAGCCAAGACTTAATCCTCATCCAACTCAGGGTTGGGGCTCTGAACCACTATTCCACTGTCTATCCAAAAGCAAACACCAGCATCAGAGTCTTACTAAGCCAAGATGGAGCTTACACTGCATTTCATCAGTTCATTCTGTAACCTCCACATGTGCATGCACTTGGCACTGCCTACCACACAGCTCTGGCAAATAGGTGCATTTGCTAAATGAATAAACAAGACGTTCCTCAGGGCATGAGTCAGTCTCATTCCAATTGTGGTTTATCTGGATACCCTAATTCCTTCACCGGACTGTGAGCTGAGGGCAGGGACTGCAACTGATTGATTCCTGAATCCCTAGTGCTTGGCTGCTGCTTTCATTTTCTTTTCCATGGCAGAAAAGAACAGTAACAGGGAAGGAGAAAGGCTCAGTGAATCCTTGAAGACAAAGTTTTTGTAGGACTGCACCAACTGCAGTTAAGGAGCATCCAAGCCTCCCAGAAGTGACTGCATCCCTAATAAATGAACAGTCTCCAGCTCATCTTTGGTGCCTGGGCTCCAAACTGACCTCCTTTGGGCCCTTCCTCATCGTGCTTCACAATGGTAACAATACATATAAGCAAATACAAACCAGAGAAAGAACAAATATCACTCAATGAATTAATGAGAGCAGAAAGGAACGAAACAGCCTGAAACAAACCCAGGCAAGCAGCGGCGTCAGGGGAGTCCAGGACCTTGGAAAAGCCCTCAGACAAGGCAGCCCCGACTTTCCCTGGCGAGCTTTCCGCCCTCGCAGTAGGTTTCCTAGGCCCCTTTAGACCTCCGAACGACCTCCCAGACTGCAGAACTGACGTCTGGCCAGCTATAGCAAACAGTGAGGTTGTCGCAGAGGATGGGAGAGCTGGGAGGTTCCTCCACTCATTTATCTGCATCCCGAACGTTCCCAGTCCGCACGGAGGGCTGCGAATGCACTTACGCGGCCCGGGCCTCGTCGTGCTCGTCTGGGAAACGCGTCCCGGACTGAAGTTCGCCGGACCTTGCCACCACGAGGACCACCTAAAGATGCATCCAAGATCCCGCGCTCAGGACCGGAAAACCTCTGCAGCAGCAACTAACGAGTTTCCGGGTCTGGCCGGAAGTACTCCCTGCGTGACAGGAAGTCCCTCCTTCCACTCCGGCCTCTCTAGCGTCCTGGAGCGCCCTCTCCTGGGAGGAGGGGGAACGTGCCTGTAGGAGGCGCCCGGGCATCAGAAATAAAGTCCCATCAATTCCTAACAGCGGAGGGCGAGGGGATTCCAATCCCTTATCTGCTACACCAACTTCTTGGGATTGAATTAATCATTCAACAAAACTTACCGAGCCCCCTCACCATAAGCCAAGCACTGTATTAGTCGGCAGGACAGATTGTCCTTAAATCCTATGAGGTGGGAGTGTGTGAAGCTTTCCCAGGGTTGGTCGGGCAGAGTGCTTAAGCAGAATTCTCAAGATCTAGAGTGCATTAGCAGCACGTGGAGGGCATGTGAAAACATGGTTTCTGATTTGGTGGGTTTAGGGTGCGGCCTGATAGTGCTTGTGTGATGGCGATAGTGCCTGTGTGTGTGTGTGTGTTGCTTAAAATAAGCTTGTGCAATCGTAAATGTCACCATTGACCTGATAGGAAGTAAGTTTGATTTAGCTGAGTGGTTTGACCATGAGGAAGGGCTTTGCCAATTAGGAAGTCTGAAGTATACTTCTCATAAATGGTGTGAGTTAAGCCTGCGTCTCTATGGCTCTGGTGAAAATATATTTGAAGGATGGTTATAACATAGAATAAATCAGAAATTATATCTTTTGTAACTATTTACACTTGTGATTAAAAATTTGGGCTACCTAGTTTTTTTGAATTTGTTTTAAGGGGCATGTATGCAAAAAGAATTAAAGAAATACTAGTTTCCTCCCATTGCTGCTGTGACCAATTACCACAAGCAGTGGCTTAAAACAACACACTATCTCATAGTTCTGGAGAGCAGAAGTCTGACATAGGTCTCACTGGGCCAAAATCAAGGTGTCAGCAGGTCTGTGTTCCTACCTCTAGGCTCTGGGGGACCGTCCATTGTCTCACCTTTTCCAGTTTCTGGAAACTGCCTGAATTCCTTGGTTCACAGCCCCTTTACATGTTCAAAGCCAGTCATGGCCAATGGCATCTTTCTCACAATGACTCCTGTTTGGTTCTGACTCTTCTGTTGCCTTCTCCAGATTCAGACCTTTGTGGTTACCCTGGGCCCACCCAGATAATCCAGGATAATTTCCCCATTTTAAAGACAACCAATTAACAATCTTAATTTCCACTTGCCAAATAACATATTCATAGGTTCTGGGGGTTGGGAGGCATTATTTTGCCTATCACACTGGTACTGTACATCACTCTTACTGGCCACTCATTTAGCTTGTGCACTGGAGGGCCAATTCCATTTCTTCCATCCTTCCGTTCTCTGAATAAGCAGTTATCAGTTTGCTTTGTTTCTGACATATATTTAACATGCAGCAATGTGCTTAAGCCTTAAGTGAACAGCTTACTGAGTTTTACATACATACAACCCCACATAAACACCCAGATCAAAACATTTTCATCACTCAAGAACATTCCCTGGTGCTACTTTTTGATCCATACCTCCTTCAGGAAGTAACCACTATTCTGACTCTTATCACCAGAGCCTGGTTCTGCTAGTTCAAGAACTTTACATAGATGGAATCACACAGAGAATGTACCTGGTTTCTGTCACCCCATGTGCCTGTGAGATTCACCCAGTTGTGCATGTAGCAGGTTCTTTCTTTTTAAGTTACTGAGTAATATTCTGTTGTACAAATACGTCATTTGTTTGTGGACGTTTCTAGGTTTTGCAACCCTCTGTGAAGCCATCATTCCATTTCTGAACACCTGTGTGGGGTCCCTGCTGTCTGCTAGGTCTATTTTCTTTCTGAGCCACACACACACACACACACACACACACACAAATGGAATTATTCTTCCTGATGACGGTCCTTGAAATGTTGGGGAGGTTGAATCCACCCAGCACACCACATCTGCTCTCCCCAAGGTGAAGATTCCGGGTTCCACGAACTGTTCCCCACACACCCCAGCAACCCTCCTGCCACAATCCTGTGACACGTGTTCAGGTCCAAACAGCAGAAGCAGCAGCAGCGGCAGCTACCACCACACACCTCACAGGCACTGTGAACTGAGTAACTAGAAATCTTTTCCCAGTAACTGGCCACAGTAAGGCTCTAAGTTAAGTCTGAAGCCCCCTTCCAGCAAATACTCCTTGCATCACAGCAGGCCTTATGCAAACTGGCCTCACCCTGACTTCCTCTTATTTTTTCTTTCCCCCTCCTCTTTGGTTCCCCATATCAAAGTACTGGGGTCTGGTGACTCAAAGTTGGACAGGGAAAGTCAGGGCACCCAACGGCTAATTTTGAGAGCACTTCTATTTGGCTCCCAAAGGCCTAAAGTGAAGTTTTAAAATGTGGGTTCTAAAAATTCTGCTGGGCTGCTACAAGGTAAACGTTTTCATTTACAGGATGAGGACCCCTGGACATGCTGGGCTGTGCTTCGGTCATAACCTAGGGCAGGAGCCCCCAGTTCCTCTGTCAGAACCCTCCAGGACCACCAAAGGCTAGAAGAAAGGCAGAAGGGAACAGCCCATCAGCGTTCTCCCAGAGCCCGGCTGTCTGGGAAACTGGCCTTCCAATTGGTCGGGTGCACTGTCCACCAGAGCTCTGCGGGTTCTCATTGGCCAGCGGGGTGGCGGGGACTGGACCAGGCGGCGTGCTGTCGGCCGCGTGCTCCCCACGCTGGGGACCCGCCCCGCGCGTGTAATAGGGCACAGGCAGCGCGAGATCGGGCCTGGCTGCCGCTCCGGCCCTCGAGTGAGGCCATGTCTTCTTCAGCCAGCGTGTCCCCGGGCGCTGACGACGGCGGCCGCAGGAAGCCTCGCCTGGCGGCGTCGTTGCAGATCAGCCCTGGGTCGGGACCCTGCCGACCGTCGGCCAGTGTGGGCCAAGATGCCTGGGAGCCCACACCCGCCCGCACCGCGGAGGACAACGAAGAGCTGGGTGGGAAGCCCCAGGCCTCGGCGCCTGGGGACGGTGGGCCCCAGGCGGGGGCCGAAGTCCTGGAACTGGGGGCAGCCCCGGCAAGGGAAGATTTGGGGGGCCTGATGGAGATGTCCCCGGGGGGCTCCATCCCACCCGCAGGGCCCGCGGGGGACATCCCCCCGGCCTCCGGCCCTCTGAGCCTGTCGCTGGAGGACCCTCCCCCAGTCCAGGCGGTGGCACTGCTCACGCAGTACGTGGCCAGTCGGGGCATGCAGCTGACCTTCCGAGAGGACCAGACGGCAGGTGAGGCCAGATGGCAGGGCCTGGGAGTCTGAGGACAGGAACCAAGTTACCAGGGGATGTCTGAGTCACAGACGGAAGGAGGGGAGTCTGGGGCAGGCTGACACGTCGCCAGAGAGGGGCATGAGCTAGACCTGAGTCTGGGGCCTTGGGATAGACCCTACTGGGAGCTGCATGTGTTAAAAGGGTCAGTTACTCGCATTTACAGTTGCCACGCCAGCGCTGGAGATCCCTGAATGAGGGCCAGTCCCTGGTCTTAAAGATGTTATTAGGCACAGTTATTAGGGCAGTACTGTCTGTATGTACCGTATAGAGGCAGCATCATTACTGTTTCCTACATACCTCCCACCCCCTACCCCCGTTCATACTTATAATTTGAAAGTTAATTGCACGGCACCCATAGCATAGTGGTTATGGCGCCAGCCACATAACATACACTGAAGGTGGTGGGTTCAAACCCGGCTTGGGCCAGCAATGACAACAATGACAACTGCAACAAAAAATAGCCCGGTGTTGTGGTAAGCACCTGTGGTCCCAGCTACTTGGGAGGCTGAGGCAAGAGAATATACTTGAGCCCAAGAGTTTGAGGTTGCTGTGAGCTGTGATGACACAGCACTCTACTGAGGGCGACATGGTGAGACTGTGTCTCAAAAAAAAAAAAGTTAATTGCAGACACCATTTATCCCTAAACACTTTAGTGTGTATTTCTTAAGAAGGAGGACGTCTCATGTAACTATAGTATATTTATCAAACTGGAATTAGAACATTGATACAACGCCATCACCTAATTCCTATTGACATTCAGATTTTACCACTTGTCCCTCAAATGCCTCTCATGGCCATTTTTTCCTTACCAGGAAGACAA